AGACAGAAATGTATTTGTATTTCAACCTAAGTATGGTGTAAAGTCGATACCTGCTATGTGATAGACATGGGTAGACACTAGAGGTACAATTAGGATATTTTTAATACAATCCCAGCCCCCAAAGACCATACGGCCTAGACTTAAGGTTGAACAAATAATTATAAAAGTAACTATTTAACCACATTTGTTATAAGAGTTACCAAGAAAAAGCAAAGTGTGCTTTGAAACTTTCTACTAGCCTGGGGTGCCAGGGGAATGACTGGAAATGCTTTCCTGGAAAAGTGACTTTACTAAGCGAGCAGGAATTAAATAGGCTTAGGAAGGAAGGAAAAGAACTCTAGGCAGAAGAAACAGCTCTCAGGCAGAGAGGACTTAAACCGTCTGCTGGATTTAGCAACACTGAAGTAATTAGTGGTCTTAAGAGAGGATAGTTTTAGTATACTGATGGCAACGGAAAAGAAGGTTCAGCAGAAAATGAGAAATTCTTAGAGGAGGCAAGCTGTTAAAGGATACAAAATTATAGCTAGATAGGAGGAGTAAGTTCCAGTGTTCTACAACAGGGTAGGACAACTATAGTTAACAATAATATGTTACAGTTTTAAATACCTAGAAGGAGGATATTGAATGTTCCCATCACAAAGAAAGGATAAATGTTTGAGATGATGGATATGCTAATTACCCTGATCTGATCACCATACAGTGTATGTGTTGAAACATCACTAGGTACCTCATGAATATATACAATTATTTGTCAATTAAAAAAAAACTAAAAATTAAAAAAAAAAAAGAAGAGGCAAGAGAGAAGTCCCTGGAAAAGAATAGGACACCTCAGAAGAGTAAGGGGAGATGAGTTTGGCCCTGAAGAAGAGAGGGGTGAAGAGGAGTGTGGTGTTTGTGACTTTCTTAAGATAAAAGTCTATTTAACTGCTAACAGAAGTGTCAAAAAGAGGGAAGACAGAACTGATTCTGTAAGGTTGCAGACGTGATGAATGCAGAATGGGCTCTACAGCTGCACTGCCCAATGAGGTGGCCACTAGCCACATGTAGCCTTTTAAATTTAAAGTAATTAACATTAAATACAATAAAGATTTTAGTTCTTCAGTTGCAGCAGGCACATTTCAAGCGCTCAATAGTCATGTGTGCCTAGTGACTATTGAAATGGGCAGCACAGATAAAAAACATTTCCGTCACTACAGAAAGTTCTATTGGACAAAGCTGCTCTAGAACACGAGTAAAATTATCCTAAGCCTTTGGTTAGAAGAATGACATTTCCCCACTGTAACGAAGAAAAGGCTGAATACAGCCACAGATGGAGGCAGGCTTGCTTATTCAAAGGAGTAGGCTAATGGAGTTGCTAGCTAATGGCCTATATTTTATCTTGGAAATAAGAGCCACAGTTGGGTTATTCACTGAAGAGTGAATGCAGCTGGCGTTGGGGAGCAGGGTTGGAGTTCTCAGAGGAGGAAAGACAGTTTGAAATAATTATTATGAAGACTGGGAGAACGGCACTAAGCCTGCCAGAGGGCCCCGCGAAGGCTGGTGACCACGGGTTTACAGATATGCTGGTACAGTGATTATCTCCAGCAGCATTTATGTGTCCAGGTATAGGTATCAATGTTTCGATTAGGTTCGTCTAGGTAATTTGGCCTTTTGCTAGATAGATGCAATGAAGGACAAGGGAGTTGAGGGTAACTGCAGAAAAAGACTGAATTACTGGATCACAAAATGTAAGTTATTAAATAGACTGGGAGAGAATCCATGTGGACTATGAAGCCACTCAGGTTAGTGGCAGGAATGGGAATAGAGAAGAAGACTCTAAACTCAAAACCAAGCTAAAAACTTCAACCAAGAGGACAGTAGCTGGTTTGAGGATGTCAGCCTCAGAGGAACAAAGATCTTGCACAGGGTCCTGAAGCAGTACTAGGAAGCAAGAGGACTGATGAACAGGAAGGTTTCCTGACCTTGAGGAATGCGCTTTTCCTGAAAGGACTGCAGGGGAAGCAAGTTTCCAGGAGACAGCTAGGTTGCAGTAAAGGCAAAGAGATATTCAGCAAAGAGGCTGGGGATATAGGAGAGTGTGTTAATTATGGGGTGCAACTTCCAAAGGGCTCCATGGACAGGTCTGGGAGGAGGCGAGAGACTGGAAATGAAACAAGGGGAAAAAATAGAGTAATGTTGGGATGATGGTACAGAAAAGAACAGACAACAAGAGGAGTTTGTCCTGTGAATGGTGGCCAAAGACAAAAGGTACAGGAGGTCTGGTGGCTATACTGCCAGCAGCCTGTGAGAGAAGAGTGGGCATCTGGGATTCAGCTAGGGTCTGGAAATGAAACCAGGGATTTGTAGTACATGGCTGGCCCTCTCATGCCCCATGGTCTACTGGTGTTGACAGTTGCACCCCTTCACCCGGGAGGGAGCAATTGCTCAGCCCTCCCATGGTCCCAGCGCTGGTGCTATCACAGGCCTTTCTCTTGGGTGTTGTTTCATGTGGGGAGGGACCCGCTGCAGCCTTTATATTTTTACACATTGTGGTAAGGCATGAATACTAATCAAATATCCGGGAATTTAAAGAAGTGTCATTAGCTCTTCAGTATTTATTTCCCTGGCTTTAGAATGGGAATAAAAGGCAATCCCTATTTTCTCCATAGCGAATGACTAGAAACTCCTTATTTAAACAGATTTGAAAAAACAACTATTTTTACATAAGGGCAATGTTATAAGAGTTGGGATTTCACTCCTACATAAAGACTCTAAAGCAAAAAAACCGCTAGACTATCAACTACAAACATTTGTAGTAACTCTAAATAGTAAAATTATGTCTTATATTCTACCAAATAGTTACAAAAGTTACTGTGCACAGTGCGAAAAGGAGCCACATATGGTAAAATGGACCATATGACTATATTCCACTGTCAAACTAAAACTGAGATGCTAATACATGACAATGAGACATTTAATTAGCAACTTTACTTGCCTTCTCAGACTATACAAGAGTTTTCCCCATTCTAAAATAAAAAGATTTTTTTCTGATTATGAAATTCTTTCACCATGCTCACTGTTAAAAAAAAAAAAATCACCTGCAATTCTGCCACCCAGGTATAAATGATGTTAATATTTTACCATTAATATATCCAAAATATTTTCAATGTGTTCATTGTGTGCTGGCCTATTCATGTATATAAATATATACATTTAAAGAAAGAAAAATAAAATCATTATATATGTACTGCTTTTTTCACTTATTATAGAAATCTTTCTACATTAAAAACAATTTTTAAAGTTTTTATTATTCCACAGTATACCACCCATAGGGCTTTGGTTTTGGAATCTGGAGGGAGACAGAAATGTATTTGTATTTCAACCTAAGTATGGTGTAAAGTCGATACCTGCTATGTGATAGACATGGGTAGACACTAGAGGTACAATTAGGACATTTT